TGAAACAGAATCCCAGTAAGTTTCTATAAAAAAAATATTTGACACTCAAAGACATATATAGAGTATGTGAAGCCAATGTGTGTCGATGGTCAATTTGTTTTGCACTATTAACTAGTGAAGATAATCCAACTTTGCCACTAGGCCAACCATTTGCAAAATCGAAATTTAATCCTGTTGTGCTTCACAATTAACACTGTAGTAACAGTCCAATCAACTGATATATTTAAAAATAGCCATATTACAGTTGCAATGTGGAATGACCATTAATTATACTAGCCTATTATGTAAGAGGAATCATCTTTTAATTTACAAAGCAGCAGGGATTTCAAAAAAATGACCGAACAGTAAAAGGCCATTTATTGAGTGAATAAATGTCATCAGCACTACGTTCTGTAAAATATATACGAAGGTTACGATGTCTAATGTAACAGCTTATTTCTATGAGAAACAAGATTCTCCGTTAAATAATTACTGGAAAAACAATGTCATAAGCATGTTACTCAAAATAAATAGGTGTTTTTTTAAGTTCGTTAAGTTTAACATTATCTGTCTATGTAAAAATGTCATGTACATGTATCTTCAGGTAAACCGATGACTTTAGCAACTAACTAAGTTATACATTGTTGTATATGTATAAATACGTATTGCGAGAGAATGCATACGTTATTACTTATTATTCTGCAACCGTCTTAGAATATACTTTTTAAACCAAAGTTATTATCTCGCATAAACATTGTATAATATTAAACTTACTAGACTCGAATTTCTTTTTCGTTGGCATTTTTTTTTTACTCTAAAACTTTAAAGGATGCGCTCGTCCCACTGGTTAGCATACCGGATTGAAGATTTGAGGCTAACGTTAAATAAACAAACAAACAAAGAAACAAAAGAACAATGTGATGACCAACTCTCACTATTCGATTAGAGTAGCCCGGGAGATGGCAGATGGATGACGTTGACTAGCTATCTTCCCTCTAATCTACAATTTCAAAATTAGGAACGGCTAAAGCAAACTACAAAAAAAAAAACTAACTAAAAATATAAAATAAACAAAAAGGCAAAATTAGGTGCAACCACGAACGTACATCAGCGGTAAATGACAAGTGTTGTTAAATACATTTTGAACTTGAAAATAAGTAATACAGAGCTCACCGAATATTACGATAACGTTATTAACAGTGGTAACATATATCCACAATTTGCATAACTTACGTACAATGTACACGCACACACACACACACACACACATATATATACTAAATTTAATTATAAAGAACATGCACTGGTAACTACGTAACTTTAAAAATACCAAGAAAATAACATAAATTCAACAGATATAAATATATATATATATATAGTGCAATTATTCCTATCTTGATATGTAAGAATTTTTTTTTTTTAAACGCCATTTAATTGTCTAAAGCGGTAAAAAAAGGAACTTGAGCCAGATAAACTCAAAACTCGCAATTCAGTCATTATTAAATCATCAGATAAGGAAAATGAGTTTGTTGTAATGGGCGTTGATGACTATAAGAGAAAAGATGCAAAACACGTAAAATAAGAAACGACGAATCTTTTACGAAGCTATCAGAAAACTTTTTAAAAGAAATTTCAGTAAAATAAGATGTAAAATGTATTTCATTACAACAAACAAAAAAAATAAATTTAATGTACAATAAAGACGCCTTTTACGTACCTGCAATGTTGTAGTTAGGCAAGACTTTCTTTCTGATGTTTACGGACAAAGACTCTCACTACAGATAAGCCAACTCGTGAAACGCATTGTGAGATGATAAACTGGTTTAAAATACAAAAGGCGTATTAATGGTATTTTTTTTTTGCGCTGTTTCTGGACATATTTCTAAAGCTTAAGTTCCAACGACTTATTGAGATTGTCTTCATAGTCTGACTAAAGAACTTTACATACGGCACGATTCAAAGACTTATTGATAATGTCTTCATAGTCTGACTAAAGAACTTTACATACGGCACGATTCAAAGACTTATTGATAATGTCTTCATAGTCTGACTAAAGGACTTTACATACGGCACGATTCAAAGACTTATTGATAATGTCTTCGTGGTTTGGACAGAGTTTCCAAAATCCGACGTAAATGCGTAAAGAATGTACGTTGGTCATAACTTTAATATTTAGCCAGTGATATTAATCCGATCTTATATCAAAAAGTTTCATATGAACTATTTATGATATAGTCTCACTGTCAGACTTTGTTTGTAGATTACTTTGCATTAGAAGAATATTAATTAAATTTTAGAATGAAATTTTGTTCTTTGAACTTAAGCCCCTTTCATTTCATAGATCGAAAACTGTATTTTTCTGATATTGGATGCAACGGTTTGAGTAACAGAAATATATACCTTAGAAACTAATCTGTATTCACGTAGTTTAAATATATTTATAACTAGTAGAGATGCAGCGACCACATGTCCTATAGTTAAACCTACCCGAAATGTAAACAACAGCTACCATGCTGGAATTATAAAGTTATGTCTCGGGAACACTTGACAAATGGTGGTCATCTTCTCTGAGTGATTGGATGGGCGTGGCAGAGGTGATCTGGTGTAATGGGTCGAAATATCATAATTAACAACACCATTTTCTCATCTCTCTCGTCACACGGTAAAACCCAACCATCAATGAAATTTCGTTGTGTGATGTTTATTTATATAATCAAAATTATTTAAACATGAATTCATTTTTACAAGAGGGTCTTTCTAATCAATGCATGCTTAGATTAAAAATAACAACAAACAAATAAATAATCCACAAAAATAAACTAAAACATGAAAATGGTCAGTCTGAGGGAAGCTAAAGGTTGCGATATCTATTATATATTTGTATTATATGTGTATACATGTATTATATAGATAAATATATACGCCTCTCGGGTAATTCAGTCTGTCAAAAATATAATACCTATGAGACACAGTTCTCTGGAATATTAAGTAATTTAATAGGACGTTCGGGAATTCCTAGATGCTATGTTCTTCTCTACCACAATTCTCTATTCTTTAATTACTCAAGGAGATGTAATTACACATTCCCTCCAATTGGATGATCCTGAAGCAATAGAATCCGGAAGTAATCAAACAAAAAAGCAAAAGGACTATTGTTATAGAACAAAAGCAATTCGAAACGATCGTTATCAGAACTTAAACGCTCACACACACACGGGTAAATAGGTGGATGAGTATTGAGAATAATAATGATATGATTTACGGCTTCACTTACTTTAAGAAGTCAACGCAAGGTTAACTGAAGTTGGAATACAAATAATAAGAATAAAAAAAAACACTGAAGTACGCTATGACAGCATGCCGATTTCACTTAAAACGTACCAGTACGTGTATTTAGAACAAGAAACATTAATATAAATAACAGAAATTATGAAGCAACACGATTCACGTTTTTTACATGGTGTATTAGCATATCGATTAATTTACCATTTTGGAAATGTTTGAGTATTTTATATTTAAATGGACATAAATAGTTTTGAATATAATAATCAGCAAGTCATGTATGTGACATCCATAGGTCGATATATAACCGCGATGGATGGTAGTGTGTCAAGACTATATTCTAAGATTGTTTTGTGGTTGGTAATTAATGTGATGCCACTCAATTATTTTTGCTAGGGTTGTGACAACCATTTCCGAACCAAAATATTCAAACACTCAGATAATAAAGACGCGTTCAGGTCGGGAATTAGAATTGCCAATACGTGGATATCTCTTACACTAAATGACATTAAAAAATAAATGAATATGGATCAACTTGGAGCACCAGGACCAAGCAACAAGTCGTACCCCTGTCGGGATTATCAGAGTGAAGTGCCTTGTAGCAGTCTACATGACCTTTGCAACAGTATGCAACAAGGATCTACGTCTGGGAAAGCGACACAAATCACGTTTTTCACGACATATCGAAAACCTGAAGCAGCCAGAGAATGAAAGAGGTATTCGTGCTATCCCATAGGAAAACAGTTTGGTCAAGTCGCCTATGGATGTCTGTGCGATGGGCCTATTAAAATGGATGCTAAGAAACTGTCGTCTTTGTACACTAGATGAATTATATAAACTTTCATGAAAGAATGCTGTGTTTTGAATATGACAACCTTAAGGCGGATACTTTTACAATAGAAACTACGCTCGAAGGCTGATGTCAAAGTTCACGGTAGTCAAATAGAGCAAAACTATAACGACGTAGAGTGGTTCCAAAATCATGTTGCTATAACTGAAAAATTACTATAACTTGTGTTCAAACATGAATAATGTTCGAACTTAAACTGAAATCATTATATTATTATTATACTGGATAAACATACTAGAAAGAGGACACAATGAAAATAATAAAATAACACTAGTTTGTATGGAACTATCCAATAATTTGTAATAGCTGTATAAAACACGTTTTGCAAAAACAACAACAAAACACTCCCATTCTTTGTCTAATGACCTAAACCAAAGACTACCAGACACATGGAGGAGATGACCAAAATTGTGATATCAAGGTTTTGTATTATGGTTTCAGCAGTGTTCTTGGTTACGTTTCGGGTGATATGAAAATTGTCTTTAAGGCCTTTACTTATATCTTCCCTACAAGGAAATAACTTATCCGTTATTTTAGGATTAGAGATTATTTTTATGCTTTTGACTATTAAAAACCTTACAGGGTTTTTAAACTACGTTATATTGTTGACCGATTTGGAGAATATTCTATGCTTATTTATATTTATTCAAACTTTGATAAATACTTCTAGTAAAAGCATGTTTCTTTACCTTCAGTAAAAGTCTAAATCAAATAATAATTGGCAGGAGTGTGTGTATTTAGTATTTTGTTTTGTTTTGCTATTCTAACAGTTGAGGAAATTATTGCAATTTTTGAAACGTTCGCTGTAAAAGAACAAGCAAGCTGCTTTTACGAATATGTAAGTTTCATTCATGTAAAATACTGTAACAAAAACTATATTATTTTCTAGTTCCACCAAAGAAAACCATCGTGAGGGATACACATGGCCAAGTTCTGGAAAGTTTAGTTGGTCCGTATAACGAGGGTGAAAGCTTGACACTGGTGTGTGAAAGTGAAGGAGGTATGTACACACATGTATTTAGAGGTATCTGGCGGGAAGTGAGAAATTTTCATCTTTTAAAAAGAGCACTACTTTGGCAATTTGACCATCTGCTTGCGATGATTACTGGACAAATTGTTGAAGATGGTTTTAGATGCTACGTTTATTAATCAGTAAAACTATTCTATCAATGCAAATGCTAGTGTTTCCAAACTAGAACATTTCTGCACTGATTTTGAGTTTCAGGTTCATTTTCAGATGCACAATAAGCGTTCCCGGTTGTTATAACTAACTAACTATATATATATATATATATATA